GTACATCCTCCTGTAAATGTACAGTAAGAACATCCATAATTAAAATAAAAAAAATATAGGCTTAAAACCAATTAATGATGTAATCCAATCAAATATAAAAATAATTGGTCTTGTATTTTAACACAAAAAATAGCTCTAGTATACATATCTTTAACGACTTAAATAATAATCATTATCTTTTTAGAACTCTCTAAAGTACTTCTCTTGAATTAAATAAGCTTTTTCTAAATCAACAAAAATCATATACAGATCATCCTTACTCTATGTATACTTGTCCATCAAACCTCTCAATAAATGTATAGCCTCTATACATACTTGTCCATCAAACCTCTCAATAAATGAATAGCCTCTATAGTAGACTTGTCCGGCATGAACCCAAATAATTTTGAAAAATGTTTGTATCACGTCGTATCATATGTTCAGTCACTCTCTCCCATAACATTATTGTATGACACATTAAATTAATTCCTCCATAATTTGTACAATCTATTGCATCCCTTTTATTCTTAAAAATAGAAACTAAATGGTTCTTTTTTCATTTATCAGGCATCTTAGTAATTTTTAAAATAATATTAAAAAGTTTAATAAACCATCAAATCTCCAAAATATTTTCACACTTCTATTAGAATATCGTCAAGTCCTATTATTTTTCAAACTTCATTTTCTCTAAAGTTGCCTTAATATGATGGTAGAAATAAAAAAATTTATTATTATTTATAATATTAAGATTATTAAAGTAGATCATATTTTTACAACTTTCATTAAAACAATTTATCAAAATATCTCAATCATCTATGTTGAATATATTTATTCTAAAAAAATATTTTTTTTATAATTTTTATACACTTTACTTGAATTAAATCTTTGATTTTTTTATCTTTTTATTTAACTAGTTTACACATATTTTTTATTCACTTTAATATCTAATTTTATGATAAAGATCACTAAACGTACAATCTAAACATCAGAAATTATTCCCTTAAACTCTGCACGAGTCATCCTATTATTTTTCAATTCTCCAAATCTTTACATCTAAACTAATTTCTATAACAAAACATCTTATCTATTTTTTTCTTGCACATTATTATTTCACCACCAATTATTTTTATTCATAAGAATTTTTTTATTCTTCAAGTACATCTTTTGCAACTTGTTTAATAATACTCGTTATTTTATCTCACATAATATTAACTTCTTCATGAGCATCTTAAATCTTAACATCTTAAAATTTACTCATAAAAATAACTTTATTTATATCTTTAACTACCCTGATTTAATTCTGTGATAATATTTCATTGTATTTTTTATCTTTCAACCTTACATCTTAAAATTCGAGATTCAAAACTAACAATCAATGTTGAATACTTAAATTTTCACTTAGAATTACCTCATAATCCTTACAATCTCAACGATATATTTTAATCATAAGAAAATAATCAATTTATTTTTTATTAGATCCATTCTTATAAGCAAAAATATGTTCATCTCTTTTATTGAATAAAATATTAATAATAAGAGAATTGTAAGCCGAAGCAAAACCTAATATAACTCTACTTTATTCAGTTGTTATCTCAATGTCATAGCCACTATGAATACTTCTAAAATTTTCTACCACTTTACCAACATGCCAATTTAAATCTCTTCCAACAACTTTTTTTTTTCACGAGGTATCCCTCGTATTAATTCTTCTAGCTTATTCCAAAGTTTTTATTTTAAACATATATACAAACCTACTTAGAGAGAATAAACATTTATAACATTAAAAATCTTAGTATAAATAACAATCTTCAGAGCTTAATTATATCTCTAATACTATTAATTTTTATAAATTTCAAACTCTTATCTATAATTACATTTGCATCATTTCTAATATGACTCCTACTTGAATACCAAGTTTAAAATCTAATCTCTCAATTGTCTTAGTATTTTTTCTAAAACATTTAATTTTTTTAATACATAAGATATTTATCTTCATATGAACCATAATATCTATTAATTTCATTAATTTACCTGTGATAGTACATATATTCTAAATTTCTCTCATATTATTAATTTCATGAACTAACTTCTTTTCTAGCATTCAATAATAATGTGAAATCTCTTACCTATTTAACATTACAAGTGAGTGGTGGTGTGGCAGTTCTTGCACACTTTTCATTATATTCAAGTCATGCAATGCGTCGCTTCCAAGTGACGCCCTAACATTGCATGATGATTTAAAGAATTTATGTCATAATTTTCCAAAAAAAATTTATGTTGTCTGTCAACTACCTAATACAACCCTCTACTTTTCACATCTAGGATTTAGGTCATGTTAATGACAGTGTTCATGGGCATAATTTAATATATCTAAAAATTTTATAGGTGACTTGAAGGCATGATTCTTTAGTTTTGTGCAAAAATTGACTAACATGACCTATTATGAATATAATGTTAAGACAGGTGAGACAAATAGATTAATTTTCATAATAACCTTTAAATTTATCTCATATATGCATTACTTACCTCTTCATTAATATACAACTTTTTATCCTAATTCAATTAAAAGTTCACATAGCTTGCACTCTGTTATCTTCACTTTTTTCAGTAGATTTATAGCATATTAGGTTTGCAGAAAATTATCCCCTGCATAGATTGAGCTACATATGTTATTTATATGGAGTCTGATTGTGTTAATCAATTGTTCACTCAAAACTCACAATTTCAATGATCAAACTTGATGGTGAGTTTGTCGAGGGGTACAAAGGATGTCCCCATATATTGGATTCTGAGGAGGCATTAAGCAGCACCCCGAGGTTGAGCAAGCAGCGCCAAGAAAAGCTCCAGTGCCCAAAAGACAACGCAGTAGTGCTCAATCCAGGTCCTGAACCTGAGAGCACGACACTGCAACGCCCCAGCCCTATTTGTAGAACCACCGCGCCGCTATTACGGTACCCTAGCGCCAGTAACCAACTACTTTCTTATTCAACCTATATGAGAGAAAATACTTCATTTATAGAAGGACAAATTTATTGACTTAAAATTTGGATTTAAATTTGGTCAAATTCATTGTTAAGTCCTACTAAGAACTCAAAGTTTCACTCCCTCTTCATGAATTATTTCAAGATTACTGCATTCTCACAGCACGGCAGCTTGATATATTGTAGTAATCCCAACTTCAACCAACAAACATTCATACCAATAAAATATCCAATGATAGGAAGTTTACTTCTTTTAATAATTGTAAGTTTTATTTTGATATCATAGATGAATGGAATATCTTTCACCTTCGAGTAAATTTAATTAACTACATCCCAAACCTCTTTTGTGATTGAGAAGAACATAAACAACTTATTGTTCTCTAGTAGCATAGCATTCTGAAATCAACAACTTCTCAAACTATATATTTTAGGTCTTTAGGCTTTGAATGTAGATCCACAAGGAATTGAACCTTTTCCTTTTTTTTTTAAGAAATGTCTTCATGATTCGAGACCATTTAAGATAGTTTGTCTTCCACTCGAGCAATAGGATACATGAAATCCCAAGAGTTTCTCCCTTCCTTTATTTATGATTGATTCCTTGGAAGGAAAGTAAAAAATCTATACATAATGAATAAAAAATTAATCAAGGTATGAAATGGAAACCCTAACCAATAATATTGAAAAAAAAATCCTATCCTCACTCTGATACCATGTTAAATATAAACCAATAAAGAAAAAACTTACAAATTTAGAGAAAGAGAATAATATTGAAAAAAAAAATCCTATCCTCACTCTGATACCATTTTAAATATAAACCAATAAAGAAAAAACTTACAAATTTTTATTGCTCGTTCTTTGTATAAAAGATGACGTTTTTTTACATCTACAAGAGGTATTATAAAAAAAAAGAATAAAACAAGACAAAAAAAGGGAAAACATTGAGAAGGAGCTGGCAGCCCTAAAGAAAAGCACACAGATTGCAATCTGAAAAATATTGACAAATTAATTAAATGGTTTAAAAGTTAAAAGATTAAATCCTAAATGGTAAAGCAAAAGCTAATGATCAAAAATTTTATGCATTTAAAAATTTAGATTGCTTTCATGGGACATCAATGTCAGTTATATATTCAGATCACTATATGACTTTAACTTAATAGGAAGACCGGCATACATATCATTTTCTTTTCATTAAGTTAATAATAGAAGTGTAACCATCCTAATGGGCAGTTGAAAACTAATTTTGTTGTCATTTAAATCATTCAGATATATATGACTAAAAGAATAAATAATGTATATCATAAATGGGGCCACACCAGAGCAATGTATGTTATTTTATCATTAGTTTTTAGAAACTTATGGCTCTTTCTAATTAATAGATGTGGAAAAAAAATTAATTTACAAGAATTAATGAATTAATAATTGTAATTCACACCCAACTGAACATCTCTCCTCTTCTTCCCTCTACCTGGTCTGCTCTTACCGTAACAAAAAAAAGGATACACAAACTCTTGCTTTTAACCGCCCCTCAGACATGTACAGCACCCTAATTCCCGTATTTCCTCCCTCATCTCGCTGGCAAACCCCTTTGCCGTCGCTTAGCCTACATCACCCACTCTGCTCTCTCGCCTGCCCCTGTTTCCTTAGTCTGCTCCAGCAAATCCTACATCATCTCCTATATATCGAAGGAGAGTTTATCAAAGTGACATAAACCAAAAAAATATATACAAGGTGTAAGACTCGATTTCCTCTCATTCTTTGCTCTATAGTTCCTCTTGCTGCAGGCTTTTACGCTCAACCAAACATTGAGCAACCCCAAAAAAAGAAGCGAAATCCAAAAGCATTCCCTCCCTGGCTGCATTTTCAGGAAAGGGAACATCAATAGAAACAAAGTAACCCCGATGTTTCTTCCTACGAAAATAGTCCTCGGCACTTACCACACCAAGAAAGCTCGTTATTCATAAGAAACAATTCAATGCAAATAAACTCCAAGAAAACAAAGAAACCTAAAGACAACTGCAATCATGGCTTCCACTCGATTACCTTGAGAAAAAGACCACCGAGGTCGGAGCAGAGGAAGTACATCTTCTCAGCGGCGATCTCATGCTGCCTCTCCCACATGGCCTCCTGCTCGCCGGCATCCTTGACTAACCTCGTTCGGAGCTGGCAGACCTTATAGCCGGCATAGATGTCGGCAGCCTGAACCCAAAACTGGAGCGAGCGCTCAAATGGTTTCCACCGCTCCGAAAACTTCTCCTTGAGCGACATTCTATCCTTTGAGGCGAAGCAAGTCCCCCCAAAAATGAAAGAGAGCCTCTCTGCCACACATAAAGCAAACAATCCTGGGGCGATGAACACATATGACATCTATTTCGTGGGGTAGTTGCGGTCCTCGATGGATCTGTCCGACAGAGGAATGTTGGATTGGTGGTGTGTTGCTTTTGTTGGAAGAAGGGCTTAAGGTTGTCTGTAAATCTCAGAAGATCAAAAAATTACTTAATAATCGGACTGTTGTGTAATTAATTTTCCACCGGCATTTCGTAAATCAGCCATTTTTGTCAAAAAATTTTCTCTGCGGAATCCGATTATTTTTGAATTACTTCCAGATTATTTTTGTGTTATTTTTAATAATTTTGAAATAACTTACGGTCCTTATTTTTTAATTATTTTTGAGTTATTTCAGGATTATTAAAAATAACCCTGAAATAACCTGAAAATAACTCAGGAATAACCTGCACCGCACGCAGAGGTTGGTCAAACGTCCGGACAGAAAATGTGCGCCATTTTTTTAGGCTTATTTATTTTGATGAAAAAATTTGAGGTGAAAAAATAATATACTTTATTGAAAGATAAATGTAAGACTCTGCATATTAGTTGGAAATAAAGAAGAATCTTAATGTGGAGAGCTCAAACACTTATCCTACCCCCGTTAGGAAAAAAAAAGGTAAATATAATTATTTGGATAAACTCATTACAAATGCATGAATTTATTTTTTTTAAATTTGGATAAGTACATCATAAAAATTAAGGTTGTTAAAACAAGATCGGAATGGCCTGTCGAACCAGTCGAATAGTTAACCGGAAGAGCAACCGGTCCGGACGCTAGGGATAATTGGATTTTTGAAAAAATGGAATTTGACCGTTGAAAACTGGGGTCGAACTGGTGAGTCGTTGAACCGGTCATGATTTTCAGAAAACTGCTTGATTGTCACTTAGCAAAATCATAACCCTTGATTTCTAAATTGAACGAATCAGGCTAATAAGGCATTTTTTAGTTCAAAATATTTGGCGAAAAGAGGGCTTTTCTTCTTTCGTGTTTCTTGGTTGTGTGTATTTGAGAGGGAGAGGAGGTCGAAGGGGTGAAGCTCGATGGTGGCTCGATCGTCGTTGCATGCAGGTGATCCCTAGGGCCAAGACAATGTCGTGAGGCTCCCTCACACTCGCTTCAATCACGATTCCCAAAATGCATGTGCAGCTAGGTTGAGGTAATTTTATTTAGGTTTTTTTTTTTTTTTTTTTTTTGAGATGTTAAGGCCTTTTTTTTATAATTAGGTGGAAGAAAGAAATACGAAAGTTATTATATATTTTTAATAGAAGCTGTAATTATATTTGAGGTGATCATTGTTTTTTTTCTACATAAAGCTAATATTTTATTTTGGCTTATTAATTTATTATACAAAAAAATGTGACTAATTTTTATAGATAAAGTTGTGCGACTAAAATGTAGCATTGATTTAGAGGAATGTAGTGTTTTGTTTTATCCTTCTACTTGGATAGTGATATTTGATGTTATAAGAGAAATACAAAGAAGTGGTTGTGGTTGTGGCTTTCAAATTTCGTTAAGTTTACTTTTAGATTATCAAATTTTGAAGGCAGGAAACGTATATGAGACTTCAAAGAAAGATTAACGTGTTTTTGGCTACAAATTTGAGGTTAGTCATTCAAATATTAAATATGTTTATATTTAAATTTATTGAATTTATTTTTATGTGTGTTATATGTTTTATAACGCAATTTTGATAATTTTAGTTAGAGTTCGCAAGCAATATAACATTATTATGTATTTATGTCACATTAATTATTTGTTATAATTATTATTCTATTTGGTTTGACGCCCGGTTCTACCCTGCCAAACCAATGAACCGTAAATCTTTCCTTCTTCTGGTTTGATGTCCAGCCTGATTTTCACAACCTTATTTATTTATTTTATTAACTTGTTTTTGAAGAAAATAATTAGTTATGAATATGTTGAATAAATTAGCAAAGACTTTCAGCTCGTTGCTTGGATAAAATTTTCATTGATTTAATATAATTCTTTTTTAATATAGCTTGAATGTTATGAATATGATATATTTTTGAATAAATTAGCAAAGATGATCTAAATAGCATTATTCAGAGCTATGTATGTAATTATCCCAATTAGTCATTTAAACTATAAGAAAATATATCTTTTAGAATTCAAGGCATTGTAAGTAGGTCCTTAAACGAGCCGAGCCTGAGCGAGCACTGCCTCAGCTCTTGTTTGGCCCGTTCGAACTTGGCTCATGAACAGTGTGTTCGTGTTCGGCTCGAATAACATATTATTGGTCATGTTCGGCTCGAAATTGACTCGAGCTATTCTGGTAGTATTAGAGTTGTATTGTGGTGTTATTGGCGCGGAACTATGGTGTTATTGTGGTAGTATTGGGGTAATATTGTGGTGTTGTTGTGAGTTGCGACTGTGTGATTGTAGGGGTTGCGACGGCAGTGTTATTGTGGTAGTATTATGATAATATTGTTATTAACGTGGAACTGTGGTGTTATTGCGGGGTAGTTGCGGCGGTAGTGTTATTGTGGTAGTATTATGGTAATATTGTGATGTTATTAACGTGGAACTGTGGTGTTATTGCGGGGTTGCGGAGGTATTATTGGAGAAGTTGTGACGGCGGTGTAAATGTTATTGTGGCAGTATTGGGGTAGTATTATAGTTTTATTGGGGCAGAATCATGGTGTTGTTGTGGGGTTGTGGTAGTGTTATTGGAGGAGTTGCTGTTGTTGTGTTATTGTGGTAGTATTGTGGTGTTATTGGTGCAGAGCCATGATATTATTTTGGGGTTGCGGCAGCTTTTTTTTAGGAGTTGCAACGATTGTGTTATTTATTTATTTATTACTTTTTGAACCAATTCGAGTTGAACACGAGCGAACAAATATTAATTCATGTTCAGTTTGTTTATACTTTGAGCTTAAAATTTTATTCATGTTCAGCTCATTAAGCTTAACGAACGAGTCGACCACAAGATGTTCGCGAGCATTAAGTTGTTTGGGAACAACGAGCTAAGTTGACAGCCCAAATTGTAAGCATCTTGCTTGACACACTCATACCATACCTAATTGTTATTGCTGTCCATATTTATCGCCAATTGAATTCTCTATTTTATGTTTTCACGGATCAATTGATGGCCCCTTGATTTGAAGATTCTCTCTCTAAGGTCATATACTGTAATTTATCGTTCATTGTTGAGAGAGAGAGAGAGAGAGAGAGAGATTGGAAGCCTTCCCTACAAATTCAGCGATCCGTCCAAAAACAATGAAATCACGTCAATATATGATATCCGTGACCATCTAAAAACAGTTGCCGTGATGTCAATTTATGATATCCGTGACCATCTATGAAATGAAGCGGCAATTACATGCAGAGATCTAAACGATCCGGACATGAATAAATAAAGTTTGTGTTCATGTTCGATTCGTTTGAAATAAGTTCGTGTTTCATCACTGTTCATGTTCGTTTATTAACGAACGAGCCAAATATGAGTTGTTCGCGAACGACGAGTCAATTTGACATCCCTCTCGCGAACGACGAGCCAACTTGACATCCCTAATATTAATATATATAA